ATACACTTGAATAGGTCAACCCACAGATAAGATGTAGTACCTTATAGTCACCTAAAAAAATTACTCATATCTTTTTGCCAATTAATCCCTACCCATGCACCATTAAGAGGTCACCACTCTTCTGTTTTTTCCCCCACTTTTGGTTGTATTGGCTGTATAAGACTTTGTATAAATGGTATTTAACAATATGGATGAACTCTTTTAAGTAAAGTTTCTTTCATTCAATAGAGTACTTTTGAAATGTTTCTGTGTTGTGTTTATCAGTAGTTTGCTCCTTTTTATTAATGAGTTGCAAACCATAGAATGAATATACCAGAGTTAGTTTATCCATTCTCCTGTTGTTGGGACTCTGGGCCATTTTAGTTTTTGGCTATGATGAATTAACTCACTTGAACATTAATGTACATGTTCTTTTAGGGTCTAAAAATTTTTCTTTTGGGGAACTATCTAAAAATGTAATTACTGGGTCAGAAAATGGTATATGTTTTTCCAAGTTGTGAAAACATTTTATACTTCCAACAATGAGTAGGAAATTCTACTTTCCTCAGTATTTCATATGGTGAGTCCTTTTAGCCATTCCTATGATTTTAAAATGATGTCTCCTTGTAGTTTTTATTTGAAGTTTTGAGATGCCCAGTAATGTTGAGGCTTGCTTTCATTACTTCATTGGTCATTTGCCAATCATGTTTTTTGAAACAATCTGTTTTAATCTTTTGTCAATCTGTAAATTAAAAAGTTATAAGATTCTTTATACCTCTATCTAGTTGATTTTTAGTATATTAATCTCATAGTCACAGACTTTACTGAAATCACGTCTGTTTAAGTAATTGTTTTATAGATTACTTGTTATGTCCTAGGTGAATAACCATGTCTCTGCATATTTGTAGAAACAGAGGTCCTTTTAATTTTTCCATTTTTGATGATTACACATTGTTTTTTCCTCCCTTCTTTCTCTGGGACCTTCAGTACAATGTTGAATATTAGCCATAGAAGTTGGCATCTTTGTCTTGTTCAGGATATTAGGAGGAAAGTGTACAATATTTGACTACTAAGTAGATTCACCAGTAAGATACTCACTATGAGATTTTGTAAGTCCCATTTATCTGGTTGAAAATTTTATTTTCTATTCCTAGTTTGTTAAAAGTTTTCATCAAGAATGTTAAAAGTTTTCATCAATTATGTGAACTGATATTTCTTTCTTTTTTTTCAATTTATTAACAGTATAAAGTGTGTGTGGGGGGGTTCATGTGAAAATTCCACACATGTATACAGTGTATTTTGAGCAAGTTCATTCCTATAATATAGTTATTCCCTTTACTTCCCTTCCTTTTAAAAACAATATTTGATGGGTTTGTTTCTCGTATCCCCATACATATATGTGTAACATATTTTGAATTTCCTCAGTCTCTGTAACTCTGTGCATTCCCCTCCTCTCTCATTGACAACCCCAACCAAACAGTGTCCCTTTTGTACTCAAGTCCCATGATTTCTTTTATTATTTTCAGACCCTGATTCCATATATGAATTTAAATGGGATATTTGACTTTTTAAGATACTTGACTTTTCATTTAATCATCAGTTCTTTTCACTTTTCTGCAAATGGAATAATTTCACTCTTCTTTATGAATGAGTAATACTGCATTGTGTATATATATCTCATTTTCTTCATCCATTCATTGATTGTTGGACACCTAGGCTCAGTCTTCCACTTGGCTGTTGTGAAAAATGCTGCAATAAATATGGGCATGCAGGTGTTCCTTTTGTGTATTGATTTACACTTCTTCAGATATATGCTGTATCAAGAGTGATAGTGGGTCCTAAAGTAGGTTCACTTTTAGCTTTTTGGTGAACTGCCATACTAATTTCTATAATGTTGATTTTCAGTATATCAGTTGATTTGGACTAATTTGCAGTCTTACCAACAATGTATGAGGGTTCTTTTTGTGAGATACTTGCCAACATTTGTTGTTTTCTTGATGATTGCCATTTTGACTAGGGTGAGATGGAATCCCAGTGTAGTTTTGATTGCCTTCATTTATGGTTAAGGATGTATTTGTTAGCCATTTGTACTTCTGAGAATTCTTTAATTCATTTGCCCATTTCTTAATTGGATTATTTTTCTTTTGATGTTAAATTTTTAAATATCACACCAAGTGTGATATAACAAGAAACACTAGATGATGTGGCATGGTACCATGCTCTTTGACTATTAGGCCTCCAAAATTGTAAGCCAAATAAGCTTCTATATTCCTTATCCATTATGTAGTCTCATTTTTATAGCAATAGAAATTGAGTGAAGATCTTATCCTAACTGCTCTTGCCTTTTCTCTTCCTTTTATGTCTGACTTCATGATTCTCCCATTTAAATCATTAGATGAATTTCCCATTGAGTTATGAAATTCAAATGTAAACTGGCTATTTCCTTTTGTGTTCTACAAGTATTTCATATTGTTACTTTAATGGACCAGAAACTGGGCACCCTCTCAGAAGGTACCTTCTTCCTGAAATTTGTCAGAATTTCAAATAGGGGAGGCAACAAATGGAGATTGTGAGCCTATAATCACAGTGGCAAGTTTCTGTTAAGACTTAATTCTTCTTTGTGTATTAACCCATCAACACTGTCAAACCGTACTATCAGCTATTCTATTTTAATTAACCTCTTCACTCTTTTTATACGTTTCAACAGATATTCATTATGATCTATTAGTACATTTTACCTTGCTAAAATTATTCAAAAGTTAGGTAAACTGTCTATATTAGTTGCACTGGGCATCTCAGAAAATTGGCTCTGAGAACCAAAAAAATTTTAACCTTCTATTTAAGGTAGATTGGACTCATTTTGAAATCTTCATTAATGGGGAGAAAGGGAGCCAGGATGAAATGAATCAACAAGATTAAATTTTGACTTGGTTATGAGGTATTTTGCGGTAGGAATAGGGCACACTTAGTATTAATGGAAAGCTGAAAATTCTTTTAAGCCTCTACATGATCTGAAATCTACATAGCTCACTGGTCTCATCACCATTCATTACTCCTTTTCCCCCTTTATTTGCTGCACTCCACACATACTGGCCTTCTTTTATCATATTTTATTGCATATTATTGTTATTTTGGGGCTTTGGTAAACCCTATTATTTCTGCTCAAAGTTGAATCCCCTGCTTACTTTTTCTTCATCTCATTGATCTCAGCTAAATTTTCAATTTTTATTTTGGCTTCCCCAAATAACATTATATGCACCAATGAAATCCTTGACTTCTATTTTATAGAACTTCTCATGGTTGCAATCAAATAGTTGTTTACTTATGAATATCTGTGTATCCCTTCTAGAATTTAAAGTCAGTGGCACAGTATTTTCCTTGTTCACTGCTACATTTTGAGCATCTAATATGGACTTTTAGTCAATAAATATTTGAATGAGTATTGAATGAATAAATCCAGAAGTGAAATGATTACTCAGAATTTCATTTAGCTAATTTAATGAGGAATAAAATGCTGACCTGTGATCTTCAAAAGTGTCAAGGTCAGAAAGTCAAAGATGTCTCCAGACCCCACAGATCAAAGAGGTGCAACACCTAAATGCAGTGTGTGATTCTGAACCAGATCCATTATAGAGAAAGAACAGTATAGATGGTTACTTCTGATGGTTGGAGTTAGGATTTTTTCTTGTCTCTATAATGGTGCAAAAGCTATCTGCATTCAATAGAAAGTTGGAACTTGGGATTCGGGTCTTTCCCAGAATATGCAGTACCACCCTCTTGTGACACAGGGGAGTGACAGTGAGCTCCCTCCCATTGGTCATGCAAGGAAATGACTCATACTGTACAGTGTGGTATGCTGTTGAGGTAGGACGTTTGTTAGTTTTGGGGGGGTGTATTCAGTCTATGCATTTTCAACTTACGATGAGTTTATGAGGATGAAACCCCTTGTATTGGGATGTTTGGCAACCTAAGAATGGGATCTGAGGACGAGACAGTGGGAATTTATCAGTAAGTTTTCTACTTCTGATGATTGTGCTGTGGGTGGGTAGAGGATGTCCTTGTTTGTACAAACATACACTGTTGTATCTGGGGATGATGGGTGTTAGGCCAGTAACTTACTCCCTCACGGTTCAACTTTTCTTTACCTAATACCCATATTACTTGCTCAGGCAACTTGAGGCCCTTACTTTCCAATTTGGTAACGAGTATATGTGAACGGAGGTGAGCGGCTGAATCTTCTCAGCGATTCTGGTTGCAGCCCAGGGAGGACTCAGAAGAAGCAGATGTGTTGTTGCTGCCATGAACTCAGGGTGCCTTCCGTACAGCAGAACACCAGTCCTTTCCTCATGTTCTCTCCTTTACAGTCTGTGAAGGGCTTTGATACGTTTTGTTACTTGCTTCTCACAGTACCTTTCTGGAGGAGGTGGAGGTTAGTTTTTGCATATTTGAGATGAAGATCACGATGGTAAGGTAATGAAGGGAAGCACGTGGTACTTTTTATGGGCAGGGAAATAGCCTACGCACTTCCAGTGGTGGCTGTGTTAACTCATTCTCACAGTTATCCTTACGTGGTAGTACACTGTGGTTATTTTCTTGATGAATGAGAAAACCAGCACCCAGAGAAGTTAAGTAACTTGCTAAAGTCCCATGGCTTGAAAATTATGGGGCTGGGGTTCAACTCAGGCAATCCTGACTCCAGAGATGCTGCTTTTATTTACTGGGTCATGCTGACTTAACTGGGTCAGGCGATGACTCCAAGCCCCTTGTGCACTTACTCACTGATTTAAAGAATCAGTGTTGGATGCCTACAAACACCAGCTGCTGGGGAAATGGGTACAAGGCAGCTGGGGCCCCTGACCTCCTGGAGCTCAGACTCTTGTGAGTTGAGTGAAAGAAGTGAATCGAAGTTTGTCACTGACCACGCTGCCTCATGTGCATGGGAGCAAGCATCCGCGTGTCGCCTGCCCAACCTGGTTTGTCCCTGGGCTCACAGGTGCACTTTCTTCTCTTTCTCTTCACAGGCCGCCTGGTAGGTGCTCTGGATGCAGTACTGGATTCCAATGCACGGATTGCCCCATTTCGAATTCTGCTTCAGGTTCCTGGATCCCAGGTTTATTCTCCCATAGCATGTGGTGAGTTACTGAATGGATCAGACGTTTACTGGGCCATAGCCACTGGTGAGTCTTGTTTCAGCTGGAATGTTCCAGACCTTACAGTCTATGCATGCTGAGTGTCTGCATATCAGTGAAGCTTGAAGGTAACTCATTAGAACCTTGTCTGCTTAGGAGCTTTCTTTACTCTTTCACCTCCTCCTCCTCTGTCACCTCCTCCTCCATGGCTCTGTCTGTCTTTTTAACCATCCAAAACACATGAAGGCTATGAGCTTGGGCATGCCCAGCTTTTGAGTGGTGTGTTTTGGGGTGCTCATGCCTTGTTGAGTGTGAATTGAGCTACTCTCTTTGTAATCTTGGGTCTCACTTAGGTGTGCTCCCGGGTGTTCACATGCTGTAGTGACACGAGAGCAAAGTTTGAGGGCTAGGTCTGACTTGGGCAGACTTCACTTGTTCTGTGTTTGCACCAAGAGAAGGAGTCATTTGACTGCTGGGCACTGAGGAGACGTGGAAATCACACGCATCTCCTCTTGAGGCTGCTGTTTCTCCTGCACGTGCCACCTGGTGTTCAGGTGCCTCCGGGCCTGGGTACTGTCACATCCTAAGAAGCCCCTTCTCTTATAAACCAAACCAAATGTCTCTTTTTTCCTATGCAAGTACTAAGTGCCCCCTTCTAGAAATTTTAAAAAAAAGGGAAAATTATCTGTAAGCTTTTATTCAGTGCTAATCTTCTAACTTCTGATATGCATACATCCATAGAGGTTTTCAGTTTTTTCTTTTGAACACTTTATTAAGTTCTATAAACTTTCCATGTTACCTCCCATTCACTAGCACCATTGGGCTTTTCCCCTGGAAGAGGACAAAAAGTACTGTCCAGTCCTAACCACTGTTAACATTTCTGCATGCTTTTTGTCTGGTTGGTTTTGCTTTATAATTCAGGTAAATCATTCTGTATTTGTGTAAAACTGTAAAAACTGATGTATGCTCAATATGAAGAGATCTACATTGAAAAGTATTTAGAAGAAAATATCTGTCACCTCAAATCCTAGCCATTCAAAGCAACCTCGAGTTACACGAGGTGAACATTCTTCTAGAAAACTTTCTAGGAAGTCACTGGCCTAAGGATAAAGGACTTCTATAAAATGTAACTCGTCTGACAAGGCTATCTTACAATAGAAATATTAAGTTTGCTTGCCTTCAATAGAAGGAAAAAACTGCAACCAAAAAATGTTAAACTTCAAATACATGTTTCTTTAACACATGAGAGAGTATTTTTTCTAAAAGGTTCATGTCAGGTTAAGGAAAGAGATCTTTGAAAACATTACAGGATTAGAATTGTGGGTTTTGAAAAACACTGTTTCAACTCTTGACATTATTCACTGAAAGTCCTCCCTATGTGGACAAGGGTGCTAACATTCTTATTCTCCTTTGTTAATTTTTAGAAAGTTCTTAATTTTACATTGGATTTTCCATTCTGTCCTGTGACTATATTTTCTGTTATTGTTTGGCTCAGTTCTTTGCATTGATTCAATTGTTTCTACTTGGGTATGGCTTTCCTACTCCAGAATATTTTATTTTGGTTTATCTCTTAACTGGCAGGATTTCTGTTCTTTTTTGAGTAATGTCTCATGAGGCTCTTGTTCTCTGAATGTTTTCACACTTGGAAATGTGAAACCCTTGCTTTTAGGCTTGTGATCTCTTGGCTGGGTATGATAGTCCTAGGCTATCTGGAGCTTGGTGGCTGATTCTCCAGGGTCTTCCCTGTATTACTTGATACAGAAAATCTCAGGCTGATCTGATTTTCTACTTTCTACTGTGAATGATATGCTGTCTGCACAGGTAACTCTGACTTTGTCTCTAAGGTTTATTAACTTCATGAGAATCCATTACTACCTTGAGCACAATGTCTTTAAGATGATATGTTCTCATAACCTGAAAATTGTTTTATTTAATCATTGCAGGAAATTTTCTTTTGTCACTTTGCATATGAATTGTATTGTTAACTCATTTTACTTCCTATTTATTGGATTCTTGACTTGAAAGACTTTTTATGTTGGCTAGCTGTTGTGGGCATTTAATTCCTATTTGTTTTTCTTTAATCTGTACTCTTCACTCTGTTCATAACTCTTGAGTTAATCAGTCAGTATATTGTATACTTTGCTGGTTTATACTTATTGGCTGGCTTTGTCACCATATTGTTTTGATTCTCATTTCACTACTTCAGGTCTCCATTCACTTCATCATCTTACCTGTGAGTTTCTGTTTTGTTGACTTCACTTTCTTACTTGGTTGCTTTGGATGCATTTGGGAGAATTTCCTTTTCTTCATGGAGTGTTCCATTGTCTTTTAGGATGGAGTGTCTGTCTTCAGGTTGTTTTGTTCTCATCTGCTTATTTCTGTTGCTGTTCAGTGTTTGTGTGATGACTCTGCTGTTCTTCCTTACCTGGCTTATTCTGGTATTACTGATGTTATATTGGCATCAACATGGTGTGACTTTTTCACTTACATTTTGGGGGAGGACTGACATGGCTACTGGGCTAGACATGGGGGTTAGGAAATGGGATCGTTTTCTTTCCTCACACATCTCCTGGGTCCACTCATCCTTGCGCAAAAGAATTATTTTCCCTGTGGATACAGAACTTTTGATGTGCGTATTTGGATTTTTGTCTCCTAGGTTAGCTTCTGGGGGACTGACAGGGTGAGGATTAGCCCACATGTATTTATTCGCCATATTATGCAGTTCTTACTGGCCACACTGCGTCCAACCTAGGCTGTGGCTCGACTGACTTCTCACATCTTTTATTAGCAGCTTAATTTGGTTCTGATTTTTCAGTACTTTAAAACAGTCAAACATCTGTTCACTTCAACTTTTCCAGACACTTTTCAATCCCCCAGTTAACTGATTTGAAATGTTTGGTGCCTGCTATGTGCCAGGCACCTGCTTGGTGTTGGGGATTCTGCAGTGACTTTGTGAGGGGCAGTCTCCCTCTACCAAGCCCTACAGGGCTGTGGGGAATATAGATAGCAATGAGGAAATGAAGGGTGCAGATGAAGAGCAGGCTAGAAAAACCAGAGAGGATAGATAGCACCACTGAAGAAAGAGCATATATGAGGAACAGCTGCACTGAATGGATGAGTGTTTGCAAGGCCTTTTACATATTTTGCCAAATTGCCTGCCACAGAGTTTGCATCAGCTTCCCCAGCTACCACCCAGCAAGGCAGCAATCCTAAGCAGGTGAAATTCCCAGACCCTCTTTCTGTTGAGCTAAGTTCTACGTCTTACAGTTTGCACTTGGTTAGATTTTTGCCTTGGGCCTGACATAGGTTGGGTTTGCTTTATTTTCTGCTGTCATCTTGTCTACAGAAGACCCCCTGAGAAGCTCAATACTCTTTTCAATGTGCTTTTCTTGGATTAGGGAAGAAAGAATTGTGAGCATATTTCAGTCTTGGGCCCGTGGTACTCATTGATCTATTGGGGCCTCTGCTGGCAGTTGTTGGGTGTCTTGTGCTGTATTACTGACTTGACACACTTATTATTTCATTATGTCTTCAGCACTGAGAAAGTATCCCTGCCCAAGGTTTCAAGTCTCAGATAAAACACAAACAAGAACTATAGGAGAGGGCTGGGTAGAACAGCACAAGGGTAGGAACAGGAACAGTGGCCTGCGAGAATGATCTTTCTCTTCACTTGAATTTGGCAGTTGCACGGCAGGACAGAGAGACAGCTGAGCCTTTGAGGGTAAGTTTTTTCTTTATCAGTAGAGGTGGGAGAGATGATTTCCTGGGTGGGCTACATTATTATTTGGCAAAAGATCTATGGATGACTGTGGTTTGCAAGAGAAACAGGTTGTTATTCTTTTAACTCAACATGGACAAGAGTCCCAAGGCTTTATGAAAATGAGTGGCTTGAGAGAACAGGTGAGTTGTTGGAGAGGTTGTGGACAGAGGAGTGAGACCAGTCCTTCAGAGTAGAGTTCAGCTGTCCCCTCTTCCTGACATCTTGTCAGCTGCTTTCTGCATCCCAGTTACCACTGTCATTTGTTTCTTACCTGCTTTCTTCATGGAAATAAAAGGTGGCTGAGCGTTGTGCTGCCTGCTGACCTTCCAATGCTCAGGATAGCACTGAGCAAGGTCCTGGCTGAGCAAATGAGCAGGACAATATGGGAAAGAAGGGGACCGAGGCTCCCCAGTGAAAATTTTCATACATAAGGACAGGAGAGGTGATGCAGGTCCACGTGGCCCCAGGTTTAGGATTTCTCAATCGTACAATGTTGCAAAAGAGCAGCGGTGTAACCATTCCAATTTTCATTTTCAGTGTAGCACAGTAGTCCGTAAACTACATGATACTCAACACTTGATAAACAGGGCTTGTCTTGGATGAGTTTGCCCAGTCATTACAGGTTGATGTATCTGTCCTGAGCACCTTTAAGACAGGTGGGCTAAGCAGTGATGGTCAGTGGATTAAGTGTGTTGCATGCATTTTTGACTTATAGTAGCCTCAAGTCACAAGTTCGGGACATCAACCCACAAGTTGAAGAGACTCTGTAATTACAAATGAGACCTTGGGCCCTTTCTGATAAGCCAGGGCAGGACTATTCCAGGGCAGGTTGTAGGCTTCCTCATAACTATTGAGAGTCAGAACTGCAAGATAAGATCATGTTTCTTTAAAAAAGTTTTTTATTTTTGGGCTGGAAGTGTGATTCATGTGGTGTAGAATGCCTGCTTAGCAAGTGTGAAGCCCTGAATTTAAACTCTAGTACCATAAAAACAAAAAAGATTAAAAATGTTTTATTATTGTAAAATATCCATAATAAAATTTACTATTTTGGCCTTTTCTTTCTTTCTCCGCCTCCTCCCTACCCCTTTCCTCTTTCCTCTCCTCTCCTCTCTTCTTTGGTGCTATGGAGAGAACCTGGGGCCCTGCCTATGCTAAACCAGCATTGTACTCTGAGCTACACTCCCAGCCATGTCTTAACCATTGTTACGTGTGCGCCTTAGTTGAATTACGTGCCTTTACAATATCATACATCCAACATAAAACTCTTTGCACCTTCCTAAATTGAAAC